CCAAATGTTTAAAGGGCGAATTTACACCGCCTTTAACTTCCCTCCGACTCAGCTGCAGGAGTTCATATGTGAAGGAGCAACACTATCTTCGCTGTATCATTCCTACTCGCCCCATAGCTCTCTGGAAGTATGTAACATTGCTGACTGAACCTCCAATAAATCGTACGCAATAAAATTAAAAAAAATTCTAATAAAATGCATTCCATACATCCACACTATGTAATCTACATAGAGCTAAACTACAGTTCGTGCATAGCAGGGGGGACTCCTATAATTAGCCAGTTCAAAGAAAACCTGATAACAAGCGTAGCTGTAGCGATTATGTCTTCAATCTGTACTACTACAGTTATGTAGACGTAGAAGCATAACAGTCATTCTTCGAGTCTATGACAGGGGTCAGCTACCGGCGTATGTTGGGGATGCGACTCCTGATGATACCGAGATCTTTCCCGGCATCTTTGGCGGGCGGTGGATGGCCTCAAACGCTAGCAGCTAGCAGCTCTCTTTCGTTCTCATTCTTTACTCTCTGCGGGACGTCTGGGAACGGCCCATGCCATGAAGCCAGAGTAATGAAATTAAGTTCTGTGCAAAGAGAGGGGGAGGGAGGGAAGGGATCTTATGACTAATTTCCCCCACCAATTTCGCAACAATTAGCTACATCCAGTATCTATTCTTAATCCCAATTATTAATGAGCCATTCACTACGAAAAAGAGTATTGTCCTGTCCACCTAACTACACATTAGGTCTTGAATTTTCTTCATGCCTTTTTTTGTGCATCATTTGCTTTTATCATCATACCAATTATTCACATTCTTACTACTTGGTACATAACAAAAAGAAAAGCACTAAGTGCAATCCTCGTCGAAACTGTGTATCGGGTAACCGCTAATGATGGCTGGCTATTTGTAGTATGCGTTTAACCTCTTGGCCCCCGCAGAATCTCGAGAGAGTCGGACACTGACTATCTAACAGTATAGATAGCATGCGAGGTCGATACACGCCCTTCGTTGTGACTTCAATGAGCAAGATACAACAGATCAAAAGCGGACACCGGTCGAGGTAAGCCCTGTGCTAATAACACTAGCATATTGCTGTCACTTGCTTTCACGCCTTTTAAAATGAAGCCAGTGAGCCTGAACATGTTGGTGTCGCCTTTGGCCATTTGTTGGAAGAAAACGTGGTAACAAGACCACACACACATACCAACTACTATAACCCTCCAACGCTGCTCACCGAGGGTTATAATGACAACAAAACAGTCAATAACCACCACTTTCGATCCTACCTGATGTATTGATGTTCTAGAGAACATTACCAAAACCCCCAAAAAAAAACCTCAAAGAAGATAATGAGGCAAGGGATAAGTCAGGTATGCCAGTATGAGATTGCCTCCCTTCTTCCACGATCCCACTAACCTGAGATCACAATAACAACCATCAAAAAATAATGCACAGGTTAAACAGATTAGATTGGAGCACCCCTACCAATCTTACAACCAATGGGAAGTATAAAGTTTCATATTAACCCTCCCGGCGCGCATGCTCTACCCAACGGGTTTCCGGCGCTACATTTGCTTGATTTTAAAAGTGGCGATTTTCGTAAAAACACTGCGTTCGAAAGGCGTGAAAAGCAAGTGAACAAGCCAATATGCAAATTAGCACGGGCTTAACCTCGACAAGATGTGCTTGATCTGCGTACCTGGAGGCACAAGACGTCACAACGAAGCGTGTATCGACTCCGCATGCTATCTACTACTGTAGCTAGCCCGTGTCAGACTCTCCGTGTGCTACAAGCGGGAGACCACGTGAGTAACGGCCCAAGCCCATCAATTAGCGGTATCGCGCAAGCGCAGTTCGCCGAGGGTTTGCACTTCAGTGCTTTTGTATGCAGGAATTGTTCTTGGGGTAATAAAAAGGTGTCCTTATAGTAGTAATTGATGTAGCCAACTAGTACATGATTTATACATGTGAAAAAGTGCACATAAAGTGGAAGGAGAAATAATCTATGCGAAGCTTGTGGAGTAACTCACCGGCAAGTGGAGTTAGGATTAAAGCAGTCACCTAGTCCCCCTCTATCGGGAGACGCGTTATCACTGGTCGTATTAACAACCATTCTCCGACACTCCTGGCGCTCGTAAAATCTCCTGTAGCCATTCTCCGTGAAGGCCGACTGTATATCGTCTTCTGTTTCGTTGTAGTGAACGACCCTCACTTTCACAGTGTTCCCGTCTACACAGGAGCGGTTCCAGTTCCGGTCCAGGTCCATGTCTTCGATGCAGTCCATGTCAATGAACGGAAGATACAGTGGGACAACGTCACTCGTACCGTTCACTATTTCTACCGGTTCGCCGTCGTCACTCAAAAACTCCAGACTCTGTGCGGTGAAGGCAGGGAAAGCCTCTCCGTCCACGAGAGTGCTGACCAAGAAAGATGTACTGGACCAGTTGGCGTAGCCCGACAACCCCTGGTCTGCGGCTTCTTCACCGATTGGGACAATTGGCTGGAACGGAAACACGTCCTCCCTACCGTCGTACATCTCGTCGTAGCCCCCACGGGTGTAGACTTCGAAACCGACAAAGTTGGAGGTGATTGCAATGAGGAGGGCATTAGTTAGAACCGCTACGTTAGACACAACTGAGAGAATAGCATACCAGGCACCTGTGGAACAATACGTAATCAGTGTCATTCACACAAGAGACTGAGAGGGTAGCTGTGTAACATACTGTATATATGTGCAGTGCTTCTAGGGAGTCCCTTTATTTTCTCACATAATGAGCCAATAGCTTTCACGGTCATTCTCATAATAACATGCAAACTCAAACTAACTCAAAAAATTCTCCCTAGTCCTTTCTGGTCCCAGAAAAAGTGATAAAGAGTAAATAGGATCGGTCTGCTACACATGTATGTGGTGTTTGTCAATAAGATAATGTAACAAGCAGTAGCTACAATTACCACAGAAGAGAGAGAAGAGTGTGCATAACTGTGTATGTATATATATACCTATATCCTGGGAACGTTCCGAGATGGGGCGACGGAGGACATTGACGTATTTGTGTGCGTCTAGTCTGATCTCGATCCAGTTGTTGAGCAGAGCAAACAGAGGGGCCAGTGGGAAGGCAGCGACAAAGACTGTCACAAACCCGTACTGGATGACTGAGGAGGAGAGGGAGGGAGGGAATCATTGGGCGAGGGGGGTGAATGCAGTAGTACCTCCAATAAAGAACACAATTACTCCATAAAGGACACACTTTAAGGTCTAAATTCATTTATATTATCAAAGTACCTCCAAAGAGGGGACAACCTCACGAAATACCTAGTCCAAACACATGTGTCCATTATTTCAAGGTTCTACGATACTTATGTACTGTATGTATGTATGTATGTATGTAGGTGAAGGAGGGAAGGAGAGTGGCGGATCAGAGAAAGGCAGGTTTGTGTGTATTGTAAGTGCACACACGTACATTGTGACTGTGTGTCTGAGTTCTTCACTACACACACTACGTAATATAATATTTTCTGGGGGAAAACCCTCGTGTTCTGTTCACATGCACACGCACCCAGCTCCAGGTACTCGTAGAAGAGCCCGTGGACACTCTGAGGGACGAGGTCATAGTCCTTCTCCCACCTCGTGTACACGTCCTCCTCCTGTTCCTCCTTGTGGCGGATGATCTTGATCAGCCTCATCAGGTACCTGAGACAGTGGGAAGTGGGAATACAGTGGTGGAACCTCCGAACCATACATGTCCAGTTTTGCCAACAAAATAGAAAAATGACAATGCTGGACATCTCCCCTCAGAACAAGGGACACTATGGAGCCCAACGAGTCTGTCCCTTGTAAAGAGGTCATCCCTACTTTGGAGGTCAAATATACACTACAGTATTAGCATGGGATTGAAACAAGTAGAAGTCGTCCCTATCTCAGAGGGTCACTTATTCCACTGTAACACAGAGGGGGCTACTGGCACAAAAGCTCTACGTGGAACAAGCGTGCTACGTTGTATCTTTCATGACTGTCATTTACTAAACTCTGACAGAAATTAGGAATGTATGGTAGAGTATATTAGGGTGTCATCTCTACTCTGTCTCTATTGTGTGTGTACAAGCCAACGTACGGGACTCCAAGCTCGGTGGCGTTGTTGAGGATCTGTTTGCCGACAAAGATGATGCCCAGTTGGATGGTCAGCTCCAGCATACAGCCGTAGGTGGAGCACTCGTCCAGTCGAAGACCTCCGATTCGGTTGAACCCTCCTGGGAATCCTGTCAGACTGCACACACACACACACACACACACATTGGAACATTATAGAATGCTTGTGGAAATACACGTGTATTGTTAACTACATATGTACTTAGCCGTGTTTTTTTCCAATCAAAGAACGCGGGTTCAACAGTCACACTATTGCAAGTGTATTGCGTAGCAAGAATCTAATAATTTGCAGTGTGCATGATTAGGGAGGGAGGGAGGGAGGGAGGGGAGGGCACGGTTTCTGTAAAATGTACGTCTGCATGCTAGCAACTCATGTAGCACTGCTGATGTGGGAGAATAGCATTTTATGCACTCTATAGCGATCAACCATTTAAATTCCCTGCATGCACCCTCGTCTGCTTTGCGGGCTACGGCTTACTTTCCCTTGAAGAAGGCAACGTAGAAGAGGGAGGAGTAGAAGTTGACAAACTGGAAGAGGTACATCTTTGTGATGAAACTGTCGTCATATTCGCTCTGCGTCCTGTGCAACTCTGCAAGCAATAAAATACATCAGCGGTGGCAATACAGTTTGGGAGAAAGCAAAATTTCTAGAAGGCCTTTCAACAGGAGTGAGTGTCGCTATAAAAGTGGCAAAGGCTAAGAGAAATAAACAACACTTCAACCGTGAGTATATATATATGTGTATGTGAATAAGAAACAGGACGTGTTGTAATGGAAGCCCATTTGGTGAATGTAGTGGTCGCTCACCCCAGTTGGTGAGTTCGTATGCGAGATACTCGTATACTTTGTTCATGACGATGATGGCCACCAGCTGTATCACGGCCCCCGTGATAGAGACGGCAATATCCCCGATACTGGGACCTCCAGATATCCCTGAGACAGCCCGGTACAGGAGACCAGCAATAGCCAGACGATACAGGAGGACTGAGAACACTATAGCAATGACCACCGCAACCTGCAAAAATACACACACTCTCATGAAAAGTATACTAGCCACAGAGAATAGAAAGAAAACTAGAAGTCACCCTCCACCCCCCGTCCTCCACCCATACACAGACACAAACAACACAGTTGCACACAACACGGTAGGACACCAGGTGCCCAGCCTTGAGAACTCGGGCAGTGGGTTAAAGAGCCTTTTAAACCATGTCATGTGATTCATGTGTCGTGACTTTTTGGAACAAGCAGATTCAGTCGAGGTAACCCAGTGCTAACTGGATAGTGGGTCATTCCACTTGGTTTTTACGGCATAACTTTAAAACGCAGTAAATACAAGCCAGTGCCAAGTTATAATAATTATAATCCGGTTCCATGCTGCATTTGTCGCGTGTGCAATGGCAAAACGCGGTAATAGACTGACAGACATTAAAACTGAACATTATGCACCACTCCAACCACTCCATGGATTGTTAGGGCAAATATCATGAACTTTAAAGGAATGGCCAGCTGCTCTCCATTTCTCCAGACAGATGTCTATGGACGCGCAGTGCAATGCATGCAAAAATGATACTAGGCATTCATAAAAAAAATTTTAAAAAGCTAACTGGATGTTATGCGCCTTTCCAAAGTCTAAGGTTGAAAAAAAAAGCATAATGGGCCAGCCCTACATCTCTCCAGACAGACGTCTACGGACGCAGTGCTATGCCGAACTATACGCTGCCCTTTGAGATGTATGTGGGTCAATGGTAGATTCATGGGCAAGGGGAGGAACCAGAGCTGTTCCCAGCCAATGCTCTGGACCATCTGACAGTTTCAGTGCTGTCCGGGATTCGAACCGGGCACCTTATGTGTCAGTCCCCATGTCTCTAACCACTTAGCCACTTGGGCTGGCCACGAGAGCTGATGAAAAAACGTTCCTCTTATATCAGCACTCACATTACATCACAATTAAAAAAACACTGCATGCCGGGATCGAACCACTGACCTCACGATCTAATGTGTGTGTGTTTATCCATCAGACCACACCAAATATTTAGGAGGGGGAGGTTCAAAATAATAATATTAACTATCGCCGGTGCACTAGTGCGGCAGTTCTGATGGTGAAACGTGGACATCATGGTAGGCATTATAGCCATGGTCTCTACAGCAAGATTCTAGGCAAAATGGCCAGTTTTAGCTCCTAAGGTGAGCGTGCGTTGATAGATACATAGTATAATAGTGTCCGAAAGGGTGAAGGCACCCAGAAAGAGCTCACCATGGAGATGAGGATGGAAAAGGTGGCGAGGACTTTCGGCCAGAACCAGTGAGCCGGCTGAACGTACTCTTTCCTCTCCAGGACTGGGTTGTAGACAAAGAACTTCTCACGGGCATTCTCAGTCTTGCAGTCTCGGATGTAGCGCTTGATCCGCTGTTCAAATTCCGGCCTCGCTCGCTCCTACAGCCACACGCACACACAAAACATAAAATATTCAGTCACATACACTACAGTACAGGTCAAAAAAAGTAAAACAAAACACCGCTATACGGTAACGGTATATACTACCTATGCATTACCGCTACGTGAGCGCTCTACCAACTGAGCTACCAGGGCAACTCAGCTGGTAGGGGTTCGAATCTACAACACAACACAAGGCAAACCTCAAACCGCTGTGCTATGGCGCAGTATATATACATGTACATGTGTACCTCCGCACTCTCGTATCCCAGCATGTCCCAATCATATTGGAGATAGAATTGACGACGCTTCCAGAACTCCAGGAACAGAACAGCTACATACGTATAATACGTAGAATGAATGACAAATGATTTATGCAGTAGCAGGCAATGATGATGATATTAGAAAGCCCAGTTACAAAAGTTTCTAAAGTCTTAGTTCATAGTATTCTCACCCCAAAAAGACATAATGAGAGCAAAAAACACTGTTCCTCCATTGTCAAACAGCTGGTTCACCTGAGGAAAACACAATTTAAAACACTTTTACCATAATTATATGTTCCCTATATGCAACAATTCTCAACAAAGATCCATGCCATAAAATGAATTGTTATTACGTATAAGTTAAGTGTAGGAATTTACGTGAGAAAAGTTGCAGGTGTCTCCAAGGTACCAGAAGTCACACTTTTCATCGCAGACAGGGCACATGTAGAAGAAGCTCCGGGCCGTCTCACACGTGTCGTAACTGTAATGGAGATGGATATTGTACTGCTGTGTGGGGAAGCTCAAAACCAAAGTGAAATATGTGCTAATAAGCATATACCTGGGATGTACGTATGTGTGTATGGACATGCATACAAACGTGTTTTATAATCATACATACAATGTGCTAGAGGGATGCGAAAAATTACCCTCTCTTACCCACATACATTCCTGCATATGCTATACAGTTTACATACATAGATAAATTCTCAAGTTTCCCACAGCCAAGCTCAGTCATACAGACTAGGGGTAAAGATTTAGGAGATGAAAAGCAGAAAAGCAGACACAGTTGCACGTGGAAAGAACAAACGTACGCGACGGCATTTCTGCTGGAGGGGATGGTGGAGAGGCCATAGAAGAAGACGACAATCCCGAGGAGGGAGATGGGGAGGAGCCAAGCGGTGTAGAATCCAATCCACGTGAAGTAGATCCCAACCTTCTCCCCAAAGTAGCGTCTGGAACAGACACACATCACGTCATATTACAATCAACGACAGTGCTGCCAATTAGTAACCTATCGTGCAATTGCTTGGATCAGGATGTGACGTTAGCGGAGAATGTGTGGGAAAAGGCTGTGTTGCTTGGGCCTAGGTTAGGGCCTAGGGCTAGGTTGGGAGTGCACTTATCACCATTTTCAGCGTTGAAGTTACAACCCAGTGTGGCCAATCAACACTGTGTGTGAAAATTTGATTTCCAGTAACTTGCGCACAACGCTCGCGCAGAGAGCATGCAAGAAGGTGAGTTGGCTCCAATATGTTTGCATACAACTACTGTAACTACCTATAGTCTTATGCCCGCTAAAACCCTCAACCTCCAAGCTTATAGCCGTGCGTGGGTCCAGGAATATATGGCCTAAATACTATGTTGATTTCCACACCCAATGCATGATGGTTGGCACTGCTACTTACTGTAGTGTGTGGACAGAGCACCTCTCACCTGACTTGGTTGAGGGGTTGTTGTTTGTACCAGTTCCTAGGGTGCGACCACTGGTTCTGCAGCAGCTGACGATCGGTCTGCACTCCTTCATCAGTCTGAGGGCTTGGGAGAGCTCTGACAGGGGTGAACGGGAGGGGGACATCACGGGGGGTGGAAGAAAGAAAAAAGAGGGGGATGGTTTTAGAAGGTTAGTATATACGTTGCTTTTTAGCCACTAAAATATTTACAACAAAGTGAAAGACAAGCAACAATTATATACAGGTTTCATAGAAAAACGTATAGTAGTGTGGAATATGTCATACACACAGCAAACTGCTTAAACTACGGTATAAAACGATCAGAAAAGGCAGATTGGCACTCTTGTGTGATCTCTTGGGGGAGACACAGCAGTTACCATAATTATATTGCACTTTCACCGCAGTGCCATAGTGTAGATTGTCAAAGAACTACAAAAGCTGATGGCAGCTATAAGCGGCGTTAACTCGTGGAGAGGGTAGTATCCGTCGAAGCAGTTGGTTTGAACGAGACGAAGCACTCCGATTTGGTCCTCGTCTTTGCCGTACTTGGCATCCTGCATGATGTGCCACGTCTGAGGGAGGCGGGGAGAGGGGGGAGAGGGGGGAGGGAGAGAGGGAGAGAGGGAGAGGGGGGAGAGGGAGGAGAGGGAGAAGAGGGGGAGAGAGGAGGGAGAGGAAGGAAAAATTAAATGTATATACTCGTGTTTTCTTTGTCACTCCTCCTAGAACCTAAAAACACAGGTTGCAGTTGCTTGGGGAGAGGAGGAAGAGGAAGGACTAATTTCAGCATCTACACAAAAATACAGCTTTCTCTTTGCTATTTTCTTCCCAACCCCAAAAAAAAACACATTTCTCTACCAGGTTGTGGAGACTAAACTTGTGCTTCTCATATTTGGCCCCTAAAGCGATGTTGAAAGTTCATAGCAAACAGTCTACAAAGGGGTTTGTCTAGCATGCATTACAGTTGCAAACGCAGAAGAAAAAGTGCTTACGATGGTGCTCCTCTGGGCATTAGTGAAGAAATTGTCCTCGTCATCCACTCCAATGTAGCTGTTATAGGGCAAGTGGAAATGCACCACCAGTAATTAACAGCCAGATTCACCCAGAAGTACATACAGTGTATATACGTGTACATATACATTGCAGTTGAGTGTACCACCTCGATTTTGACATGTAGCCATCTTGCAGAGGATAGCTACGCACGCTACATTTGAGTCTCACCCAGCTAGGCAACTATGTGTTGTACTGGGTGTCACGGTTTCTGCATTGACACCCTCACACTGACACCCTCACACTGACACCCTCACACCCTCACACTGACACCCTCACGCTGTACTGTACCTCTCCTTGTGGTCTTCCTTGAAGGGAGCGGTGAAGTAGGTCTGCAGCTGGAGGTGTTTGGGGATCTCTGGGATGGTGGGGTCTCGCAGCTTGATCAAATCAAAGAACCTCTCCCTGTACGACTGGACCCTCAGATTGTTCTCCTACATAACACCACAGACACAGTACATTAGTAAGGAGTATGTCTGGACCCTCAGATTGTTCTCCTAAACACAATACCCGCTTAGTTCCCAGGTTGAAAAGTATAACATTTTCGCACCAAGTTTCAAAACTGAGTTCTTAATATTGCTATAAAGCACAATGCACATGATTCTGGAGATGTATTAAAAAAAATGCTACTAGGCATGCTGCCTGCCAAACCAAAGAGATAGAATGACCATTCATCATTTCACTGAGCTGTACGTGAACGTACACATCAAATCTGGCTGTCACCTACGCACATACGTAAATGTCTTCTAACACGACTACATTGCTCACGAGCCACACATCTCTTGTCTACATACAGCAGAATTTACAGCTCTTCACAATGGAGCAAACTGTCACTGAATCTACATACGTATACACCATATGCTTAGGGTCATGTGCACAATCTGCAACCAGGGCCAATAGATGACAAGTTCAGTGTTCTCCCCAAGATACTTATAAGGCTTATGTTGCGCGAGTGCCATGACAAACACATTGAGTAAACACGTGCACCTCTTGGGGGCATACTACCATAACAGTCAACTCTACCAGTAATCTCGCTAGTAAACCCTAGTAGTCTCACTAGTAAACTCTGGTAGTCTCGCTAGTAAACTATAGTAATCTCTCACCCTGATGGGCATCCTCAGCAGCAGTTCATCGGCCCCCCTTAGGAGGGCTGGATAGGTTGCGTGGATCTTCACAAAGTACGTCTTGTGATCTGGAGACTCCTACACACACACACACATAATATGTATCAACACAGTTCCTATCTTCAGCTAAAAACTACAATAATAACACCTCGCATATAATTATTAAGGTTTAAATACTGCTTCCACATGAACAAATTAACACGCCTTTGGATCGCTTTCTGTGCAAGCAAAGTAGCGTTATAGAGAGATTTAGTAACAGGTTATCGCACACTTTATAATAGCACACTGCCTACAGTGGAACCCCTCCTAGAAATAAGTATATACATGTATATTTTCTTTCCTAAAGAACGGTTTCTTGTACACCATTTCACCTCAGAAAAAAGGACACCTGATTAATATGGACACTTCCTTAATTCCCATTACTGTCCGAATTATGTATCACTGATACAGTTGTGTACAAGACATGCATAGTGTTGTATATACGTACCTTGCAGTCCTGGATCTCATACTGCAGACCCAGCTCCACGCAAGAGTCCAAGAACTTCTGTCGCTTGGCTCTCCGTTTCTCCTTCTTCTGTTCGGAATCATCGTCCTGCACAGGTCCCGCCCCGTCCTCCTCGTCCTCTACATCTCCCCCCTTCTTCTTCTTCTTCTTCTTTGGGTCCGAGATGTCGTCCGTGTAGGTCAGGATGAAGTCTGTGGGAAGAGGAGAGAGAGAGAGGGAGACAATGATTTAACCACACACCATAATCTAATCACTTCAGATACGGTGCGAAACCCTTGATCTTTGGGGAAGAGATAATGTGCAAAACAGTCCAACGTATAATTATGCCAATATGCCTACGTATCTATCATAATGTTGTGCCTATAAAAAAAAAACCGAATCCTCTTACAACTCTAAACTTTGAAACTCTTAGACCAAACCCGTTATAAGAAGGTCAGTGTTTTAGGCAACTTTTAAGTATGAACCTAATGTGTGTCATCTAGGGAGAGAGAGGGTAGCAAGAGAAAAGCATTAGAGAAGAAAGCAACAGAGTAACAGAAATGGTGAGAGCACACCGAGTAAGCTGGGAGAGAGAAGATACCACAAAGAGGGAGAGGTTGGGAGAGTACTTAGAGAGGTAAAGGGAGTGAATAGGGTATACCATTACACCACTAGAACCATGAAAGAATGTAATCAGTCCAAGGGATATATAAGGTGTTCCCTATGGTCAAACAAAGGTGTGGCAGGCCAACCACGCCACATGCAATAGAATGCAAATCACACACTTCACAAGAAGCTTCTTCAAACTCAGAACCATAGACATTCCTAGGGAACTGGACAATATATTATGACTATGTACATAATATGCCCATATAAAGTAGGAGGGGGTAAACAGACAGAATTCACCTGAAAAATGCCTCTAAGAGTTCAAATTTCAGTTTTCTCAGATATGGGTATCACTATAGTGTCCGAATGGTAAGATCTGAGCAAATTCTTTGAGAACAGAAGCTGCAAAGCAAGAATATTTGAAACAGGTCTAGGTGACGTCGAGTTTGATATTTCACAGTATCCTCTGTACTGTAGGTTGACGTAATATCAGAAGCTCGAGATTGCAGTGGACTTCTATTAACATGTGTGAACGACTAGGTAACGAGGCAGAAAGGCATGGCAAGGCAAACAAGTCAACCTACACCCAGGACAGCTCTTTCTTTAAGGAGCTGCCCTACATGTAGGTGGGATTCGAACCCACGACACTTTGCTCTCCAGGCGACTGCTCCACCAACTGAGCTACCAGTGCAACTCACACACACACACTATTTGCGCCATGTACAAGTATTATACTGCATTGACGGCACATCTACAGTTGCCAAAGAGTTTGGTGTTTTGCAGTTTCTTTAGAAAAGGTCTCCACTACAAGTATCCTTCCTTTAGTGGTTCCTATATCCACAATGACAACTATAGTGACACCACAGAGTCAGTGCCCTGCAATAGTCAGCAGAGTGTGTGAGTATTATATAACTATGTACACTGACCAATTCTCCGGATGTCATCGTCGAAACGAACAGTCTGCTCCTTGTGTTTCTGCAGAAAGGATGAGAGATAGGGAGAGAGAAAAGATGAGAGAGAGGGAGAAGGATGAGAGAGAGAGAGAGGGAGAAAGGAGGGAGAGAGAGAGGGAGAAAAGATGAGAGAGAGAGAGGGAGAGAGAAGAGAGAGAGGGAGAGAGAAGAGAGAGGGAGAAAGGGAGACAGAATGAAGAACGACTACTATACCTGCTGTTCTTGTGGAAAATTTGTATTAGCTGTCTTTGGACAAGTGGAGCATGCATTCTACAGAGTCCCAGGCTTCCTTACATACACACACCTATTGTCCACCAATGTCACATGGTGTCAATTCCATTCAGTCTTGAAGCCTAGTAACAACTACACCAGAGGACTTCTAAATGGATGCCTCCCAGGAAAGGTTACCTGGAACCATGCGCCGGTTCAGCTTCCAGCTACTGGGAAATAAGTGTGGCAGTCCACGCCACACTTGACCTCCGCAATAATTTCACACATTTTTTTCTCTGCTTCGCGTATTTTTCTGCGCATGCGCACGTTTCTAGCTGCACACGAATGCGCACTTTTTCTCACTACGCTAAGTTTTTTCTGCGCAAATATTTTGCCCATGCTGTGAAAATTTACATGGGTCACCTTGCCTCATTACACCAAACAGCTGCTGGTATCCACACACATACAAATCATACATAAGCCAAACTCTAAAGACTAAGTGGTTGAAGCCACAGAGCCTGCCTTTCTTCCCAGGAATGGTCTGGAATGCACCAGATACCAATCAGAGCATGGTGCAAATTCCCAAAGCCCTTATCACTGTAACTTAGCAACCACAGAGTTTCCCAAATCCAGATCATTAGTTCTCGCCACTAACCTTTGACCTCTGAGAAAAGGAGAAACCCCCACAAATGGTATAATAAAAACCCAGTGATTTTCATTTAAAAGTCTCATTATCACAAACCTTTCAGCCCTCCCCTCTTAAAGGTCACAATTAGCATGTAACCTTAGTATTCCCATGGGATAGCGTTTTATCAGGTACAAAAAGGTAATGGGTATATGTACTTGGAAAAGTATACTTATAAACCTCACATTAGAGAAGGTACGTAAGCCTCAAGTATTTCATCCAAGATCACAACACCTCTACCTTTTCCTGGCAACATATGTACAGGAACCGCCGATCTAAGGCTAAATCAATTCTGAATGCTTGCTGTGAACATGAAGGTCATAGAGTCTTGAAACAAGAGCCAGCCAAAGGGGTAGAAATCAGAGCATCAGTGGGCCATTGCAGTGAGAAGAAGGAATGTGAACAATAAACCTGAGCAAATTGCTCCAGTACATAGCAAGCTGTACTAGTGGGTATGATACATTGGGTTAGCTACAACACACACACACCACACCATATCCCTCTATAACACAGGTAGTATATAGACTACAAGCCACAGAGAGAAAGGTGGCACACTGTGGCATGTGTGGATGTAGCCAGATTACTAGCAGACAAGGGCACTTGGTGTGTGAATGGTAGTTCGTGGCCGAATACAAAAGGCAGTACATCATCACATGTACATAGCACTATGCTACAGCTCTTCCTAGGACGCTCCCAACAAGGGCCGCCCACTAAACATGTAGTTTCCTCTGCATGCTTGTAATTTTGAAGGAATGTCAAGTGCCACACACGCTGCCACGCCTATTCCACGCATGCGTGTGTGTGTGTGTGTGTGCAGCCACCAAAACACAGTGAGTTGAAAGAGATTCAACCAATGAGACTCTAATTTGCCCGATTTTGAAGCCGCTTGTGGGAGAGCTTTCAACACTGACAGTATATACTTACCATATTAGGGACCTAGTAACATAATTACCCCTGATTTATATAGCTAAGCAAGAGCTGATAATTGTTAATTGGCACTTTTACTCTGCCACCACGCATGAACTTTGTCTGATGGTGCCGGTGGAGGGTATAGCTTTAGTAAACACCACTATTCATGGCAGACAGAAGGGGACAACTGTGCCACCAGTGGAAGCTTCTGTTGCATCCACTTTTTCCCAGTCGTTTCTGTTCAAGGCACACACATGAGAAGAGGCTGTTTGGTCAAGGTTGAGGACATTTATACTGGCTTTTAACCGTTAAAAATGATCTCCTACATTTCAAGGTCACTGCACTATACAGGGTGTCTACTCCAACCGCCCCTGTTCCCTTATAGTGGTGTACTGTGTATTGAATAGCATTTGTTCCTTCTGCTCTTTTGTGACCTTCGTTTAGTAAACCCTGATTTATCAGGAGGAAGAAGCCAGCCCATAGCCAGCAAGAGCTCATTAGAACAGGAGTTGTGGTACAATTATATACACGAGGAAGATAGCTTGGAGTACTGTGCGCACGCAGCTTGCAATGATAGGTGCGCTTCATGCCTACAGGATTGCATGCACGGCACGACATGCACCCGCCATTAGATGCAGTCGCGTCTAACATGCACGCGACCAGGGCTACACAAGGCCCTTGTCATTCACCTTCTCAGCCTCGGACTGGGTCGTCCCTTTCTCCAAGAGATTGATCTCCTCGCTGCTGGCCTGGGTCGGCGGCTCGCCCCCTGCCTCGAAAGTCTTGTACGAAGGTTGCGTCTCGTCGTTCAGCTGCTGCTTGTCTCCGGCGCTCGGGGTGAACTGCACCGAGAAACTGCCTGCAGCTGTTCGCTGATCGCCCTCAGGTGCGAGCCCCTCGAACCCGATCTTCCCGCCCTCTGGCTCCAGAGAAGGATATGCCGGCTGCGCCATGCTTTTCTCCCTCAAACAGAACTCACACACCTTGCATATAGCTATCCAGCTAGCTATATAGCTCCTTGCTGCTTGGCTAACCACGTGAGGCGTAAAACGTGCTAATTGAGCCGAAATTACCACGCCCAATGTGCGGGAATAAGCGGAGAGACTACGAAGACTACGAAAACGTTTGGGGACAACGCCCAGAAAATTACGGAAATACACAAAAGAGTCCGGAACTTTGCGTTTTATAGGATGAGGATGAAAAGGAGGATGATGTGTAGGAGAATGAAGTAGGCCAGAAAAAATAGTTTTGTCTGTGGAGTAGTTCGCAGCAGTCTGGTCAGCACAATACTAGTAGAGGAAAGAGAGGAGAGCAAGAGAGCACAGGGCAGGAGAGAAGAGAGGAATCAAAAAGAAGGGGGAAGGGAGTGAGAGAAAAGAGAGAGGGAGAAAGGCATTATAGAGTAGGCGGAGGAGGAGAGGGAAAGAGGGGGGAAGAATAACGAGGAATTTAGCTGATTAAACTTCCAAAGTTCTGAGATCATACACACACACCAATTGTAACCCTACCACACCCAACTCACACCCACACACCAGACACCTAACTCAGAAGCAAGCCTGAAAAGAATTCCCATACCTACCAACCTGCAGAAAAACCTTTGCTTGAGAAATGTGTCAAATTTGCTTGATTATCAAGCAAAAAGCTGGACGGTTGGTAGGTATGAATTCCACGTAATTATCTTGCGATTTCGTGCAGTCGATGACGGACAGACAGACATACAATACAAACTAATCATGTGCGATGCTAGTGAGAAAATATAATCACAGACATTTGCGACGACTCACTTTGGATTGCGAACCAGTCGCTGGCCCCAGGTAACAGCCATGTTCACGTAGTTCACTGCATTAGAGAGACAGTACATCAATGTAGCTGGAGAGTCGATACAACAGTGTGTCAGCCACAGAGGCTATTGGTATATAGTAGGAAGGGTTAAGTGTGAAGCCACAGAGCAATAGACCCTATAATGTGATGATCCGTCAACTAGATATGTAGGTGACAACAGGAAATCTGAAGGGTTATGGCAACATTCAACCAAGAGAGTACACCATCGTAAGCCAGAACAAATCATCATCTCAGAGTATATGAGTATATTGTAGCCTCATTCTCTAACCCCTAGCTCAGTCAATGCGCAGCCTCCACCAGGCAAAACTACAAGAAATGACTGGTATACTGTACTATTTAGTAGGTGTGGCTTTATAGGTGCCATGAGGTGAGCATGGAACCACTGCAAACAGGAAAGGAAAAGTAATGCGGCGATGCTGCATGGTGCGACTGGGGAATGTCACATTCATCTTTAACCCAGCCTTAGTATATATGTATGCAGCTCAGACACGGAAAGAAGAGAGAGAGAGAGAGAGGAAGGAGGGAGAGTGAGAGATAGGAAGGAGGGAGAGTAAGAGAGAGAGAGTGCACCATACCCAGAGTCTTCTCCTCTCCAGGAAGAGAGGAGGGTAGAGATGGAGTGACATCCTCCATTCCAATGGCCACCTCTGACCTCACCTCTTTCACCAACCTCTCTGCCATCTCTCTGTACGTATCAATCACACACGTACCAATCACTATGAATGTTGTATATTTATGTATAATTATACGTAGGTGCAACTATGCAATTTAGATACTCAAGAGCCCTGGGCTTGCTACGTATATGTGACTACCTCATACTGTACATATGTGTGTGTCTACATATGTACACGTAGTGACGGGTTTCTGAGCCATGTTTGCATTTGTGTTGTCGTCTACTGTATTGCAGACTCTGCGCCCAGCCTGCCAAGAGCTGAGTGGTACAGATAACTCGTTGAGTTGTGGGTCCGAGTCCCACAGAGCAGCTTTTAATACTTTGAAAAGGTTCCATCATCCATAATTATAAGTCACAGGTGTAGTAATTGCTTGATATGTACTTGTCTAGTGCCGTCCGTCCCCCAGCTGGTTCATGTGTGGCAAACAAACCTCTTTTCGGTCTCCAGCTGGAGTTGCTGCTGAAGAAGAGAGAGTTGAGAGGTGTGGATTCTCTCGCTCTCTGCCAGCCTCCTCTCCACCTCCCCCGACTGGCTGCTCTCTGCACACATTCATATTAATATCTGACACCTGACATGTAGTAATATTAATACCCACTCTCCTCTTATGGAGAGGAAGAGCATCCGGGGTTATGTACGTTTAACCCCAAATGAAAAACAACTGAACTCTCTGTTGTTATTTGTATTATGATACGTATGTATATGTCATTTATGAGTCAGTGTTACCCTTATGCTAGAGCAGCTCAAATTGTGTGGCACCTCCCACCTCCCACCTCCCACCTCCCACCCTTCCCACCCCCCCTCCCCACCCCACCCCCACAAAAATTATCACTATAGATCAACGCCTGTGACACCTTGATACCACCTCATATACATGTACATGTTTCTGAAACGCGTAATGACCCAGATACAGCTCATAACAAAAGGCTACTAGTACCGCACCCGAACCCGGTACCTCGTTACCCTTGAGCGCTAACTTACCAAGAGCGCACTCTAAACCTTTTGGCGACCAGCGTACTGTATGATATACATACATATACAGGCATTTAGAATGTAGAACCAGACAGCCAGCAAGTACATGTGGCAAAAGGTTGCCAGGGCCACTCTCTGGTGGGTGGTAGTTGTGCCTTTAGAGTTGTGTATAGCTCTGCCCTTGCAACCTTTTTGCGACACAAGTGTTGCTACACATGCACTGGCAAAAGTGGACATGTACAAAAGATGTACATTAATAGGAAGTGCCCTGTCTGCACCCTACAGCTAGAGCTCAAGCTGTGTCGCTCCTGCAACTGTCCTGGAGCCTCCCGTACAGTCCTGGCTTGCTCAGCTGATGAGGGTGGACTGAGCCTGAGTGCTAGCCACGCCACCACCTACGCACCTTCTACTGCTCCACACGACTATGGACCTCCAGCAGTGCCTGGTGTCAGGTGGAGAAGAGCACAGAGATACTGAGACAATTTGTACTCAAAAAAAAGGATAGTGTTTTGGTTAATTTAAGTGTTTTTAGTACCAACAACCTATGGTGCAAAACACCTTGAAACTGCAAACATAAGCTGCTAGAAACTCAACTAAACCCTCCCCATGCCACCTCTTGGACTACTATAAGGGCCTGGCCTATATAAACACACAGACATTAGCACAAAGGGATGTGTATGCATTGTGAAGCTCAAACTAAACACCTCCCATATGTAGGGATGCGCGAACATTAAAACAATAAGCACGTACACCCCGTTTGATATGTGTATTGCATTGCT